CGCATTGTTTTCCATGCTCGGCCGTGTGAGTATTAATGCGAAAACTGTTGTTGAATTTTTCATTCATCAGATTCCCGAGAATCCATTTTTAGTTAATGTTTATGCCTGAAGCACAGAGGAATATGACCTTAAGCATACTTCAGGGAGCTGCCTCATAGAAGTCAATGTCTTCTTTTTCCTTTGGTTTGCCATTAGAATATGTCTGTTCTGGGCTTTGCTCATTGTTGAGACATCGGTTTTAAGAAGACGTCTTGAGTACTTATTCAGCAGTGCACTTTTTATCTTTCAAATCGAGACCTAGTGACCTCACATCCGAAACTAACTTGATTTTCATCCATCGTCTTTGCATCAACGATAGCCGGTAGCCATCCCTTCCAATCAATGGAAACATTGATTTGAGTTTAGTGCCTGACATGCCCGCTTACAGAACGGCCTCTGCTCTGGGATCTGCCTACCCCGCTCGCTCGTTCGCTCGCACAGTGATGTCCAATCATTGTGTGTATCAGATCACCCTCGGCAGTCACTCTTTGCCATCCCACTCAATAACACATTCCTCCGCTCCGAGCAATGCCCGCCGATGTGAATACCCCACAATGTTTTCCTAACTTAATCAGATTTTAAATGGCAAGGAGTTGTAGGAGTCAAGAGGCAATTGAAGCGTTAAAGGGGGAATCACCCTCTTTTTGTCTTACTAGTATTTGTGGTTTAGATTAACAAATTGAGGCACAAAAGTCAAAATATTAATATGTTTGGGGCGGTCCAAAATGAGAGTTACTGTCAAAGGTGTCACCAGGATTATTTTTCAGGGGCAAGGGAGGATAAAGCATGCATCAGCTGAAAACTGACAAAAACCATCAATGGGGGCCAATTTCAAGTTATTTTCAAGCATATTGGTGTTTTTTTTTCAATTAGTTGGCCCTGACAACACCCATAGCTACTGTATACCATTTCCTTAGCACTGTTTCAGTTTGAATTTTAGAAAAATGGGTAAAGCTCAAAGATTTATTAATTCCTCAAGTTTTTCAGCTTTTTTTATTTCAAGTCTCTTCAACCAAGCAGTTTGCAGCAGTTTTTGTGTTTTGTTTTTTTTTTCTAAAGGAAAGGAATATTCAGTTGCATGTTAGTCTTGTTTTTCTTTCCAAAAAATACATTCCAAGATTATCCAATTGAATGTGAGAAAATGCACCTACATGGATTCAGGAACTGCACAGAATGCTATGTACATGTACAATGCTTGCAAGGGCTTCGAAGCACACAGTGGACTCACTAAAACCTTGATTAATGGATTGTCCATTTGGGTTACACAGTGATGTAAGAGAAAGGTGATAAAGTGAATACCAGTCTGCAGTCTGACCTGTCAGATTATCAATACTGCTGATTATCTCAGCAATTTGGTCACAAATAAGCCAGGACAATAATAGTTCACGCTCAGTTTTTCTGCAAATGGCATGCGTGTTGAACTCACATTGTTGTCTGTGAATGTACCGGTATGATTGTCCTCTGAGAATTTGGTTCATCGGCTGAACACAGCTCTGCTGCTCTTGAGAATCTAGAGAAAAGAAATCATCACCGTTGACAAAGCCCCTTCATGACAATTTCCATGTGATTTTCAGTTGACCGGATGCAACTGAAATGTTTGAGGACTGGACAGATTACTAGCATTTTTGATCTAGAATTAACAGCCAAACAGTCTTATTTGTAAATATGCTTAGCTTTAACGGTTGGAAATAAAGGGTATTTCACTTCACCTATGCCAGTGACTGTGTAACTCTGGCAACCAAGATAAAACATGGTATGACACCAAGCATGAGTTTTCATTTAATCCTTCTCGAACTACTCCAAAAAAAACAATTTGTTGATGTCAACCGACTTCTACTGAGGGTAAGAATTCAATTTCATCACATGAAAAATAAACAAGAGTCATGTCCATGTACATGTAGTTCAAACTCACACTAAAGTTGGCTAGTATTTGACAGAGGGATTGCATGTCACAGATTTTCATTGGTTACTTGCCATGTTAAAGGAACCATCACTGAGTACCAGCTGCAAGAGATCTATTGCAATTGGCTTTTCCAAAGACATCACATCATGAATATCTTATTTGTCTCGCCATAGGTCTTGCCCACCACATACTCATATATCAAACCATGTGATTAGTCATGTCAGTCGCAGTACCAAAATGGCAGTATGCCTTTCTACCTGCATTTTTAAAAAAATAATTGTAGTTTTTAGTCATCAAGGCCATTTGAGTATTAACACAAACTATTAAAGGTTCGTTTATAAACAAAAATTGGAAGGTTCTTCAAAACCATTGTTTGTCACATCAAATTTTGTGCTACAAAATACTTTGGTGAGGGATTTTAAGAATATGAGGGAAGGAGAGAAGAAAGTGCCTTCAGAATTTAAAAACTCATTTGATTATTGAGGTTCCAAATCCCTTTAACCCTCCAACATTCTCATAATTTGCAGCATTTAATGGAGAGATGAATTATGTATTACTCACATATTGAATTGATGCTCAGATGGTTTATGAGCAGCACACTGTCGGCCTGTTGGCATGCCAGGAATAGAAACATATTTTTTTTTTGCTCTTGGAAAAAAACAGGAAATTAATTCCCTCCAGATCTCCCATCTTAGCTTTGGATAATTGAACACAGTTGGCTGGTTTGGCTGATGAGTTCTTCGAAACAAAGCATTGGGCACTCAGCATGTGACTTTTCTTTCATTACTGCATTCATGAGGTGTCTGCCTGTAGGGCTGAGTATGATTCTTTCTCATTGTGGCATTCTCTCCTACTGAGATTGGGTCATGGCGCCTACTAATATAGATCCCGGACAGAAGAGCATTGAGGCATTTTTGAAAAGCCCAACTCACACCGTAACAGTCTGCTTAAAAGGATACTGTAATACACTTTTTTTACTTCAGTCCTTGACATTGCATCCTGTGTTTCAGTAAGCCTTATTTTCAATTTTTTAATTCGCCATTTCAATCTGTAGTTTGGAGGCTTTTTTGTTCTATGCAAATGCAAATCTTTTAGATTCTTGAAAGCTGTGATGTCATTTGAGGCGCTGAACTTAAGTGTTGCACTGATTTGTGCACAAGAACTGCCAAAACTTTTGTTTTCCTATACTAAACTTGTGTTTTTTTGATAGAAGGCAAGTTACTGCTGTGTAGATTTATTGGAACAAGTCAGCGAGGAACCATTTTTTCAAATCAAAACACGAAAACATGCCATCTGAACAGTGACTTCCCTGATTAAATCACAGCAACAGCACCCTCACAAGTCCGGAAGAGCATGGTCAGGTGTTTAATATTCAAGGGAGTCTATTATTTTGCACACTCAACTCCAGAAGAATTTCAAACAGTTTGAATGAATTGAAGAAATACATGTACAACCTGTTGCACAGAGCACAATGCATATTCATGTTACAGAGCACCATGCATATTCATGTTTCAGACCCAGCACTGGTATTGGTAAGTGCCCAGTTTTACATTTCAGCCAAATTTGACACATCTCCACTAAATACAGAGTCAAACATAAACTACCTTTTACATTCATTTTTGGTTCATGGTTTTTTGAACTAAGAAAGGCCTCTTCTGGGTTAAGCATAAACCTTTGGTTTTGAAAATTGGTTTACTTTAGAACTTCATCAGTTGCATAAACAAGCAGATGTCCTTTGACTGACTTGCGAAGCAATGCATAGGAATAAACTTTAACCTTCTTGACCTTTCTTGGCACTTATTGAGGTCTAAATAGCAGTCTGATGTAGCTAAGGTTGACGCACTCATAGCTCGTAGGTTTGATTGCAAATCTACCCTAGATTTTGACAAGCCTCTACAGGCGCACTGTAATTTCATTGTTGCTTGATTCATATGTCTGTGGTTTTGCAACGAAACTGTGATTTCAGCCTGGGCTTGGACTTGGTTGACAACTGTTGTAGAATTCCCAGACTATCCAAGATTTATTCTCTTTAATATGTGCCATAGTCCTTACCAGAGAGATATCAACTAAGCTAAGCTGATGCACACAGAATGGAAGTAGGGTCAGCACGGACAACCCTAGCTCATCTGATAATTAAAGACCTTGTCTACAACATCCAGAGTCTCTGGATGCTTGCAGTGGCACATCTAAACTACTTTTCTTAGACATCTTAGCTCCTTGAGGATAAGTCTAGGAGGTTTCCAAGATATGATCAGCATCCCCTGTAGAATCCTGGTGTGTACAAAGCAGAGTCACCAATTGATTGGATACAATAGGCCGAGACAAGTTTTGAAACAGTTACCTACGCAAGACTCATGGCCTGACTCTGAGGTTGGGTATTCCATCTTTAGTTCAAGGGATTTCATTGGCTGCCTTAAGCATGCTATTCCAGTTTGTGTGACAGTGAGCATTAACTACTGCCTATACTTGTCCGTGTTGGCTTATGAGAAAGCAAGCTAACAGACTACCAGGCAAGATCCCAGCAGTCACATAGCACAAGTTTCTACCAGCATCCAATTCACACATGGTTGAGCCTGGAGGGTTTAACACCATACAAAATTTATGCATGTTTTAAACCTGCCATCTGTCTCTACACCAAGGTTTACTGGAATGGCACATTGATCTAAAGTTATGGAGGTAAATACCTTGATAGTGGCTACCTGTAAGAGGCATGGTGATTTATTCCTCATTGCAGAATTGCTTGATACATTCAATTGCATTCGTGCATATCGTGCATATCCAGAGTGAGACTCCTTAAAATGTAACAGATTGGCAGATTGCTGAGCAGGGCAAGCAACCCTTTTGTTATAGATTTTAACAACTTGCTTCTGCTGTCAATTTGATGTGAGCATTTCCCCTGTAGATTATAGTCCAAGCTAGAGACCATAATTGTATTAATTAGACGGCTGAAATATTTGTCCAGTTACTGCATCACTCAGCTGATTATTTCTTTGGCTGCAGTTTTTTTTTTTTTTTCATCCTCCTTCGTTTACTCCTCCAACCAACGTCTTAATTGCAGGGAGAGAGTAGCAGCTTATCGGAGCAAGGCGACCCAGGACGGAGGGACACGCCCCTTCTAGACGAAGTCATATCCCAGCTGGAGAAGTTGTCCACATGATGTCGAAGTAAATTCTGTACATCTCTTACAATTGCAAGTACTTAAGGATGCATGTGGTGAATTGAATTGGAGTCATGCGTATTATTCCTTGTAAATGACTACATCTGTGTTTCTCATGTGCAAATAGCCGTAGTGTCTCTGTTGTATTTATGTTTCGCCTTTTTATTATTCACTATGCTCTTGGAGGGCTGAAATGGGAAGTGTTGGACATCAGTGCTTCCAGAACAGGTATTCAGGTGTTGATTTATTTATATCACTTAAGAGGACATCCTTGCAACAGCTGTAATATCTACATTTAGTATGGAAGCTGAGAATTCCCAGAATTGGCAAAATTTTGATTAGATTTTACAACCCAGGAGCTGAGAACTATTAATTTCAGTGTCATCAGGTTTGTGATCTGTGCTTACTTAAATTAGCAGTGTCTACTTCGCTGCCTGCAGTTTTCAAGTAAGTTTCCTTGGCTGTTCTTGTTTGTCTTTCCTAACGTTATCCCTATGCCTCGCAGATACGTGTGTTGTTCGTTTTTATGGTAACATTTTGTCTGGATTGTGCATTATGCATGAATGAATTGTCATGCTAGAATTAAGTTGTCATATCTGCCTTTAAAATGAGTAGTGTTTTAATTGTCATGCAGTGTCTGACTGCTATATGAAATAAGGATGATAGTGGAGACATGAAAATAGTCAACAACCCAATCAATGTAGAGACAAATTGCTTGAAAGTAAATGAAGCTAGGTCAGGCTACCTGACAGGGATAAAACGTCAGCAAAGAGGGTACTCGTTAAGTTATTGATCATTTAGCAGACAGTCAAGAGACCCCCAACTTGGAAGTATTTCATCACCCTAAAATTCACGTAGTGCTCTAAGTATAGAACACAGACTGGTATTAAATGATACAGACTGGAAAAAAGGAGAGTTTCCTCTGTAACATTGGTTTGCTACCGTAGGGTTTTGTGTTCGATACTAGAGATTAATGGATTTTCCTCAATGGAAGGACTCTTCCTACAGATAAAAATAAGGTCACTTTAGTGAAGGTTTTATGATTGACAGCAGTGGATAGTTTGAATGAGGTAAGATTGGGTCAAAAAAATTGGCATTCGTCATTTTGGTGATTAAAACCCTGTTGTGTGAGTCAGCAGGCACCAATTTAGTTTCTTATTTTACGCCCATGAAATAAAACATTGCAATGTTTTAAAACAGGATTTACAAATACTGTGATGAATTTATCACTTGAGAGTGTTCGTTTAAAGACAAAGCCCATGACTCTCACTCACAAAGTGTGAGACTCGCACAATTTCGGTTATTGTAACGCTCACGCACCCGTAGGCCTGTGGGATTTTCATGCCAAATAATGAAATAAAAGTCATACAATATTTTAAAATATTGCTCTACCCTTTTGGGTCTTATCCTGACCTGGTAAAAACAAAATGATTGAATCGCAGTGGCATTGAAGTCCTCCATGTTCTTAATCAAGCTACATAGGTCTTTGAAGCCACCGGCGGCCATCTTACCATGCTGAATACAAAGGTAATACCTAGGCTTGCTGGCCATTGTACCAAATCAGTTTTGGCAACAATAGTTACAATTATGGAGCGTCAAAAGTGGACAGCCCCATTTTCTCATTTTCTGCTAGTAGATTTTCGGATTTTGGACGTATAGCATTTTCAAAAAACGCAATTTTCCGCCAGCAGAAATTTGGATTTTACTTTAGCAACTCTCATGGTGCGTCAAAAGTGGACAACTAAAAACTTCAAATTCCCACTGGCAAAATTACTGTCATGCTCCAAAAGCGGACAACCCCATTTTTTGCTAGAAGATTTTTGGGTTTTGGGAATTTGCATAAAGCAATTTCAAAAACTCACTTTTCTGCTAGCAAAAATTGGGAATTTACTCGAAGAAGTCTTTGTAGCGCGTCAAAAGTGGACAACTAAAAACTTCAAATTTCCACTAGCAAATTTTATTTGATGCTCCCGAAGAGGAAAACCCCATTTTCTCCTTTTCGCAGAGGTTTTTGTAGATGTTCATTTTTTTAAAAGTTACACCAACCCTTGTCATATAACCCAATTTTCTGCTAGCAGAAATTTGGATTTTACTTTGCCGACGGTGGGGTGATCCAAAAGTGGACAAGTTGAAAACTGAAACGACCACTGCGCTCCCTATGCTCAGAATGGAACGGTCTTGGGAAGATGGGCATCCAAAATTAACGGTAGAGGGTCAGTGGTCTGACGGATGGCGTTACAGCTTGGAAAAAAAATGTGGATAAGTACTATTGAGCGACTTATAGAAACCGCCCGCCGAAAGCCTGACAGTCCTCTTTGGTACAGCAAACTCCTCAGCACCCGTGCACTTAGAAAGATGGTGGCGGCTTCCCGTCGGACATTTCCGTTTTAAATAACTGAGCACATGATGATATGTGTCCCATAAACGATGCTAGCTGTAACAAACCATTTTGTCTTTGTCCAGTAGTATACTTGAATTTGTTGTGGAATGAAAAAAGGTCTGAATTGCAAAACGTCGTGTTGAGAGAAGAAGCTAAGTGCTGTTAAATCAAGTGAACCACGAGTTTCAAAAAGGGGAAAAATAGAGAAAGTTAAAATGGGAAACATTAAAATACATTTTGAACTTGCTGAACTAATGTTGACACCCCACAAATTCCAAAACACGTATTCAGCCAATAATTCCAATCACAAAAACGGATAGCCACGGCGACAATAAATCTTTCAGTCAGTACACCAGTCGGTCAATGAGATGACATCAAGTTAATTTAATATTTATCATACAAATATTTGTTCAAGTTATCAGTACAAGTGGGCATTTATAGTGGAGGCCTGGGTCATTAATATGAAGACAAATGATTCAAAGTGACAATGTGAAGAGATATTAATGCAATGAAAACACAAAGTTTCAGGTGACGTCCCGGAGCAGTCATCGGATACATGTACTGTGAAATGCATGGATGGTGGATTGTGTAACAAATCTTATATCTGAATATATATATAAAAAAAATATGGTTGTTCCACTTTTGGCACTCCGAGTAACTTCCACTATACTCAGTTCATAATTTTCGTCAATCCTTGACATCTTATTTTTAATAATTTCCTTTAAAATAATACTCCCCTCCGATAAATCCCATAAAATTCACATCCTTGACGTGAAGAAGGTCTGATCTTTTTCACAAAATCGGCTAGATGGAAATACAAGTTGCATGAAAAAGCAGCAAGGGAATGTCCAAATGACGCCTGATGCCCGTCAACAGACGGCTCCGCATGTTTGCAGTACTACTACAAAGGACCGTCACTCTGGCAGCCACTTCGCAACTTTCGTCGACATAATATTTTTTTTCAGGGTCGGGTGATGCCAATCTTCCCAAGACTGTTCCATTTCAACATGGGGAGAAAAGTGTCCTTCCAGTTCTTAACTTGTCCACTTTTGGACCACCTTGCAGTCGTCAAAGTAAAATCCAAATTTCTGCTAGCAGAAAATTGGGTTTTCTGAAAAGGGATGGTGCAACTTCAAAAAACCCGAAAATCTTCTGGCAGAAAATGAGAAAAAGGGGTTGTCCTCTTTGGGAGCATCAAATAAAATTTGCTAGTGGAAGTTTGAAGAATTTAGTTGTCCTTTTTTGACGCGCTGCGTAGACTTCTTACAGTAAAATCCCAATTTTTGCTACCAGAAAATTGAGTTTTTGAAAATGCTTTACGCAAATTCCCCAAACCCTAAAATCTAATACCAAAAAATGAGAAAATGGGGTTGTGCACCTTTGGAGCATGACAGTAATTTTGCCTGTGGGAATTTGAAGTTTTCAGTTGTCCGTTTTTGACGCACTACGAGAGTTGTTAAAGTAAAATCCAAATTTCTCCTAGTGGAAAATTGCGTTTTTAAAAAATACTTTAGGCAAAGTCCAAAATCCCGAAAATCTACAAGCAGAAAATGAGAAAATGGGGTTGTCCACTTTTGACGCTCCATATACAATGGCATGCGATCCAACAATCATTTGTCTATTCGGCCTGATAAGATGGCTGCCAGTGGCTTCAGGCAATAAAAAAGTATTGCTAGTCCAGACTTTTTTGTATGACATCCAAGGCTACAAGTCAGTATTGGAAATAGGCTGACAGGAGCAACTCTTACACTCAAATCTTACTCAGCAATGGCAGCCCGAATCATCTTAGTTCCAGAATAACAGTGGAGCAACGGAACTTCATCCTTATTGGAATATCTGGTACACATGCTTGCCCATGCATGCGAGGTTGCGCATGGCATGGTTGTTGCATGTCTTTGGTTTCAAGTCAAAACAAAAAAATCGGTGAGAGTAACACAGCGCCGCCATGTATTGAAGACATAAGCTTCCCTTTTTGTGTCAAGGGTTTTTATAGCACTCTGCGCTGTTTTCGAACGGCAGTTTATTTAGACCAAATGTACCGCCATGAGCAGAATCGCCCCCGGCCTTATCGGTCATGTCGATACGGTCATGCGGTTGAAAACTTAAAGAGCCATTTGGATTGGGAGTGTTCATTTTGTTGGTAGCGATGCGACTGCAACGCTTGCGTGTCATAGTCGTTCGTGAACCAGCGATGCACAGTATCCCCAAGAAAATAGTGCCCTCTTTTGGTCCAGCTTGGGGCCGATAAGGTCATGGTCAATGACTTCAATCTCTAGGCAATCTCTAATGCCGTGGTATCTAGCCATGAATATAAATTACATCATTGTGTCAACAGATCATAGGGGGAGCTATGTTGGTTAAAGTTCTCGCTCTCCACGGGCACTTTGATCTCATTTTGTCGAAAGATCTATAAATAATTGCAGTGGTATTTGATGAAAATTTGAGAGTCAGTGGTCAGGTAATGACAGTAGGCCCTAGTCACAGTTGTCCCGAGTGGAAGTTGTTGTGGCTTCTTCCTCAAGACAGAAACGTTTGGAAGCAGGAGATGTGTGTAAATTAATAGTTGCCAATTATCAAATTATAATGTCGGCATCGTGCAAGTGAGGCCTGTTCAGTCTGGAGCGTTCCAAATTTTGTCCCCTTTGCCAGGGCGTCCGTACGATTAGATAGTGGTGAAAAAAATCAAACTTTAACAGTCCCAGGCAGATCAAGCTGCATTAGAGCACCCTTCTCAAGTTGAAGCCTCGCTAGACAGTAGGTGTTCAAGCATGCATGGAGAAGATCTCTCAGGCAGTAGCATGGCCAAGGGGAATTCAGAGCAGCCGAATCTAACGGGCTGTAGAATTTCACAGCAAAAAATGAGACGTGTGCTGAGGGAAAGCGAAATTGGAACAAGGTATAGAGAATAAATGCATAAACGGAACGGTGACAGTAAATCACAAATGCAACGCCAGCTTGTTGAAAATACGTCATAAGCAGTGAATTTTGAGTCACCGAATATTATCTTATTAGTGTCTGCATAGTAATGGGTAACTTTAACCTAAATGGGGCTAAAACACTACCAGCTAGCAAGCAACACCCTGGATACATGATTATATAATGTTAGGACAGCCAACACGAAAAAGACAGCATTCCCCTCACACTCACAGACAGTAGGAATAATTGCATGTTGAATGCAAGTTGCCGTAATTAATGCTTATGTTTAATGTTGCAAAAGAATTGTCCACGTCCTTTTCACATGTCCAAGATATTGGATGAATTTTAACGTTTAGGCTTGTAAATGTACCCTTTTTGGGGCGGACCCCGAACCAGTTTTTCGGGAGCAAATTTTTTTCTTGCCGAGCAGAAACGTAGGCCTATAACCTAGGCTGTCCACGGGGTAACGTTAAATTTAGGGGCTTTGTACACGTGTTTGGAAGGAGAAGGAACTTTATTCTTCCAAACAATCGCCTTTCTGTCATTAGTTTTCCATTAAAACTTAAAAATAACTTTACCTTACTTTTTATGGGGGCGTGGCCCTCGTTGCCCCGCCCCTCCTCTGTATCCGCCCTTGACCTACTTCTCTCTTTTGTGTGTGATGTTCTCTTCGAGTTCACTGATATATGGAAGCATACAGAGAAGAAATATCTTGAAAGATACACCAGGTCGGTATGGAAAATATTCTATACCCGAGCACTTTCTAGTTCTCGTCCATCATCTTCCCTCGACACGATTCTTATATTTTTATATTCAAAACAGCGGAAAACCTTGTGGCGTGACATTTGTAGAAGCCATCGACAGAGGTAAGGTCTTGGTTTATTTATCAATCTGTTTCGTGAGTGT